ACACATTACAGTTTTTGACTCTTATTACTCATAAATTCTTTAACTGTTGTCTAAGATTGTTGGATTTTAGTGCGAAAACACGTATAAAGTTTAATTTATAGCAGAAATGGGAATAAACCAAGCAGTGGATTTCAGTTTGAGCTCTAAAAGACAGAGAAACATAAAGAGAAATAGTTGTAGGATTGTTTGAAATTCCACTTAAAAACTCTAGTTAACCTTTTTTTAATAACCAAAAAACAAATAAGATCATCAAAAAAGAGCCATCAGGATGTTTCCTGGGTTTTTGCCGCAGAATTAAACATCAAAAGTTGTCAAAAGGTGCATTTTCTATTAGTCTAATGTGATAAAGTGTGGAAAGAAGATGCTTTTTAAAAATCATTTATTGGGTACATCGGTCATATTTTCAAATTAATTCATTTCCATAAACAAATGCTTCTGAACTGATGAATGGACAGTATTGTTCAGGCCTTTTATTAAAGCTGAATGCTGGCGTTAAATACTGGACGATCTGCAATTAAAGGCAGTTTTTAAAGTGAGTTTGCACCCCTTCGAGCCTTGACCACACCTTTACGTTTGGTAAACAAATAAATCATGTTTTCTGAGCCGGCTGCTTCCACCTGAGGGCTTTTCGAGTTAATTTAATCTAATTTTGATCAATTTATTGATGGTTTTTGTTTAGATTTCCACCACTTTTAGCCCATTTCAGCCTCCAAAAGACACCGACTGGGACAAATTTCTATCTTTAACATTTAATCCTGAGCTTTGGATCTGGTTTATTTACCCACATAATCCTGCAGCTGGTCAGTTGTCATTAATCTTAATGTCCCATTATGACTGTGAGTCTTTATTTTACATTGATCCTAGAAAATATCAAATATAAGCCAAAAAAATCACTTAAATATAACATTTATTACCGATAATTTAACCTCATCTGCTGTATTTTAACAGCACACGACAAAAACGTTCATATGTGGACACAACATTTAAATGAATCATTTTATTCAGATCTAATCGGGATTTTACTTCTGTTTAGCTTATCGTTCCAGCTCAGAGCCGCTTGTGTTTCCTTTTTTTTGTGTTTATTCTGCGTGGCTTAATGCGCCCTCGGGTCGTCCTGCAGCTTTTGTTGGTGCAGATGTGACTGTGTGTGTTTTTAAGCCGTCATATTATCCTCAGCTACACAATGAGGCGGTTTCAGATATCAGCTCTGGAAAGTCCCCGGATAATTATGCCGGACTTTGTCTCCATCTCTCTCTCTCTCCCTATTTCTTCTTCTTCTTCTTTTTCTTCTTCTGCTCTTAATCTTCTCATTGTCACCATAAATGGGGCCTATTGTTTTTGCCCTTTTTAAAATTTATTTCCCACTTTTTTTGTTGTTCTTCTGATCTCTGAAGGCTAGCTGCTAGCTGCTAGCTGCTAGCATGCTAACAGGCAGGTGTTTAAAGTCGGTTGCTTTCCGTCAGAGGAGGAATATTTAAACCGTCGTGGCCTTTTTAAGTTTTCTCTGAAGAGTTATTTCAGCCGGGTTTCAAGTCCAGGGGAATTCACAGCAGCCCATTTCCATATCGCTGCTGCCTCAAAGCGAAAGCATCCCCAGAGCTCTGAGCTCCACTCTGACTCCTAATGTTGGTTCAAAGCTGCAGATCAGCTCCCAGATGA